TGGAGCTCTCGAGCGCTCTGATGTAAATGGGCCCTCTAGCTACACTAAGGTCATCGCTGCTGCAACAAACTGCTGCATTGTGACATGAGCACATGTAGGGCAAAAGTGTGTACGAGCATATGTCTTATTTCTCTGACTAAATCTGCCACTACAACATGTTAATTGTGCAATCTGCTAAAATACGTATCATATACTGCATGTGATTTAACTGCAGGAGAAGAGGTTTGCTCAGTTCATTTTTAGATCATTTTTGTGCTGGTATAAGAAAATATCCCTGAAACAAGCTGAAACATCACCACACTTGTTGCTCTCTAAAAGCAGGGAGCCTAAGAATCTTCATGCTTTGGCTTTACTACACAGAATCTGCCAATAATTTCTTAGCAAGGGAAAATCTCAAAGATTTCCTGAACCTCAAACAACTAATTACAACATAGACTTCTACATTGACAAATACCATGATTCAAAATGCAAGATCTGAATCTTCAAGAATTCAGAACTCAGAATGCACAGAGTGCTGAAGGCGGATGGAACGACAGAGTAAGAAACCACCAAGGAAAACCTCACAGGAAGCATCAAGGGATAACTTGAACTGTTCATTGGTAATTCAAGTGATAACAAGTATTACTGGGCAGTATTACTGAGCAGCTCGGAAGTTAAGTTAGTAAACTCTGCATACAATAAAATGAAATGAGTATGTGCCAATTAAGTAGAAAATGAATGACTTAAAAGTGTAGTCAGCAAATTCATGAGGCTTCTCCTCACAAATTCCTCTCTAAGGTCCTAATTGCTAGAAGTCAGATGTCCAATATTAAGTATGTATATCATTTATGAATCTAGCACCAACTCTTTCTTTCTTCTCACCAACAACTCTGAATCTCAAACTTTGATGAAATCCAAAGTAGTCACATAAAAAAAAAAAGAGAAGTAGGATGAATTCACATCAAATATACCTCAGAGTATGCTGAACAGCTCTTTAATCAATACACCCTATGGACTCTAAAGAGCTATCCAACATGCCCTAAAGTAGACGCCAACATTTCATAGCTGAACCACTTTCTAGGCTTCACTGGCTATAACTAGATCTCCATGGACTGTGACGGGAACCAAGATACATAATTCAGAGAGACCTTAAGTTAAAATGTCTCTGAACCTGAAATCCAGGCCTTAAGTCTAAGATGCCAAGCACTGGCATTTTTCTTAAACTTGGCATTTCCCTCACAACGACAGAAAGAGCCTCCCACCTGGAACGTAGAGGTGGAAAGCAGCCCTTCTCCTGCCCCAAAGGTAGACTACTTGCTCCTTCAGGACCAATTCTTTGCTAATGAAGCATCACCAGAGAAAGTAGAAGTGACAGTGGGCACATACTCAGCTTAAATGCCGAGCATGCAGGGAGCATTTTGTGAGTTTTTTTTGTTTGTTTGTTGGTTTGTATTAAGAGGAACAAGGGGATATGTTGGTGAAGAGAATTATATTAATTGCTTGGACCTTTCTCTAAGAAAAGCAAAGCCCATGCTCAGTTTCCTGGTCTGCCTTCAAATATTCAAACCACATTTCCCACCTCCCATGCAGTATGGACTGCCTCTTATTACTACAGCAATCACCACTAAAATATTATAGGAAGTGGGAAAGGAATTTCATACATTATCTTGTCTCTTCAAAGATGAGCAGTGGCCAACACTGCATTCTGTGGGAATCCAATCCTGCCAGGAATGTGTGAACTTAGTTCATGGGAGCTTTTCCAGAAGAAAAATCAAAAGGAATAAAGGGAGAGAAAAAATGTGTATTTCTGCATCTGTGTGCCGATATTTAGAATCAAGGTGTGGATTTTCAATATTAAATTTCCTTCTATATTATATACATACAATTCTTTGAATCTGGCATTAACATTCACAAGTTTATATTTTGTTATGTCCTATATTTTCTTAGTACAACTAAGTCAAATACAAAAACTGTTAACATATTCAGATTTCTGCTTTTAAGCTTGTTTTGACCCAGTTGCTATGGTATGCTTTCTTCAGAGGGAATCTTCAGCTACAGCAGCAGGAAAAAAAAATCTTTCATTACATTTCACTGTTCAATAGCTGTACCATAAATCTTGTCAGCTCTATACACAAAGAAAACTGCAACTTTACTAAGTGACCTAAGGAAAACTTATTCCTGCACTTTAATATAAAACTCAGCCATTAAAACACACATTCCCAAAGCTACCAAACATCTTTTGTTTTCAAAGCTCAAACTTCCACATAAGGTTACATGTTATCTACATTATCAATAATGGCAATTACTTGGGTAGCTTCAAAATAAAGGAAGATAAAAATCTAGAATAGCTTTCAAGGTCATTCTAGACTTCACTAGACAAACAAAACAAAACAACAACCAAAAAAACAAACAAGTGCAAACTGACTATCACAAGATCTAATTGTTTCATGTATAGAAGTAAGAATGACATTGTCTTATCAGTAACATACTCAGTTCACGAAAACGTTCCTTACAACCTGTGCAGGAATATGCAGCCAGATAGAGCAAGACACCTGTGAGCTTCTACTTTAAATTGCCTAATTAAAATAAGCAGAATTGCACACCGGAGGAAAGCTTAGCATACTTATAGTGCTGGCAGAACTGACCCTTGAGGTAAAAAGCAACAAAGCCCAGATAAATTTTAAAAAAACAAAGTCTAATACCATAATCAACAAATTAAAGAAATTCATTTTAAGTTACCCACTTTCATATCTTTCTACTCTTAAGCAGAGATCTTAAGCAGCTCAGAACTGGGCAGGTTCTGGGCAGGGCTGGGCCTTCTTCGGCACCACGGCCACCGCGGCAGCAGCGCCCACACAACCTTCTCACATGTGTCTCCCTTCCGAGGGAGGCTGCTTATTTCAGCTGTAGCGAGGCCCTAAAGACCTCTGAAATACCTTGTCAGCTTCTATTAAATGAGAAACCAACCTCATACCTTCAGATCCGTTTACATGGTCCAAGAAAAAAAAAAATCTCCAGCTTGGACACCTTTGTATCCCTGTTAATTCTGTTATACAGATACAGCTTATATTTAATTTGTTCTTGTGAAAACTCTATCGGTTATATTTGGGGGTTATGTTGAGGGATTTTTTCTCATTTTTCTTGGTGGGTTTCTCTGGGGATGGGAAAGGAGGGTGTTTTACAGATGGTAGCAAAGTGCCTTCACAGAATTCATCTTGTTATTCCTCTCTGCTCCGAAGGTAGTTTGGATTCATGACAAGGGGCTGCTTCAAGGCTTGTCAGTAATGGGATGAGGAAGTTCACACATAATAAAGCAGCTGCACACAGACACTGGAGTTAGGAATCAATAACTAGAGGTCAGACCACAGCAAGCATGTGACAAACAGCTCTAGAATGTGTGCTTTCATGTGAACATGAAATCCAATCCATTTGCTTTCATGCCACCACTACTGCCATAACCTTGTTTTCAGCAATCCATAGCACACAAATTGTTTTTTGTCGAGGTCTGAAGCTCTCTCCTAAATTCATCACCTGTTGTGTCATTCCCTGGAACGAACACGGGAGATGTTCCCCAATGCATATTTCATCCTGAGAAACAACAGGAAACTGGGGTTTGGTGAGTAATGTCCAATGTGTACATCTGAATGGATGGTATTTAGCAGCTGTTATGCTACTTGCTTATTAACAATAAAAATCAGTTTTTGTCAAATTCTATCAGATCAACAACAAATACTACATCAGAGTCTACAAGAAGGCACATTTCTGTGCCTTCAGTCAAAGTAGCAGCTAGTTATCTTCCTCATCTACAGACCACAGACATTTTGTCACATTCAAACCAATTTCCACATGGGCCTCCAAACTCCTACCACCATATATAAAATGACAGTTATTACAATGCCATGGCTTTGTAGCCATTTGGAGCAACACCTATTACCCTATGGTGCTCAAATCAGTGGTTTGTATTTCTTTCAGTGCATTTGTGAGCTGTCTCATTTAAAATGTGGGTTTTTTTTTTTTTTTTTGCTTCAAAGCAAGTCTTTCTTCAATGACCACTCTTAAAGCACAAGAAAAATGCTTGTTGCCTCCCCGATATTTTCTTTCTATAATGAGGAAAGCAGAGAAGAGTGTAGTGACTATCACCAGCTGCATATTCATGGTGGGTGCCTTCAAGCCAGTCTCCCACAACCAGCACACAAGCACTTAGCGCTGCTATGGCTGGTTCTATCTTCCTGACCAATTTCTCGAGAGGAACTGGAATGGTTCTCCCACTAACCTCACTCTCCTCCTGTGCTCCTATTCCCTAAGCACATCGCAATTTCACTCCTGTTCACTTCTGGGTCCTCACTCTTGGCCACAGACATGCTGGGAATAGACATAACTAGTGAATATCTAAAAAATTAAAAGGTTATGGGGGCTTGGTCAGAATTTCAGCTTGAGCACAAAAAGAATGGTTAGAAGAGCAGCTCCAAGCTGAAAGAAGCCAAAATCAAATTCTTTGATCTAAAGAATTTCACTAAAGCACAAGTTCCTCCTCACTGAACTGTATGTTCCCATTATAAAAAGATTGTTATTTCAGTGACCAAGGGTATCCTTCCAATTTCATGTATGTAGGAAAATTCATCTTCATAAATATTACAGAGGAAGCAACAGTTCCAGTTTCTGGAAATTCAAGAGTTTTGGAAGTGCACTGATTAGGTGAGAAGAAAATAGATATCGAAAAATGATCTATGGCTCACGGAACTAACACCCATCCATATCCGTACATATATACGTGCTCCCACACAGAAACAAAACGGAGAATTGAAATAGAAAAACAAGGTGAAGAAAAAAGATATTTAAACCTAGAGTGGAACAACAAACTATTAAAGATAATAACTGAATTACAAAAAGCAGCAAAAAAAATGTGTTAGACAATCTTCTGCACGTTTTTAAATGCAAAGATTATTACTTAAATAAAAACACTCAGCAAACATTGATAACATTTACGTACAAATCGGTATTTCGGTGAAAAATTGTGTTACCTGATTGGGCGATTTTCTTTACTATCAAAGAGTGAGAAGATTACTTCCAGTTCCTCTCCCAGATTGGAGCACATAAGACTCTTCATCTGCACAAAAAGATGATGGCTACTGGCTGGCACTGGTGTATCTTTCTTTCGATGACGATGCTCCATCTAAAGATACCACCAAAATAGCCAGTTTGAATCAGTCTTAAAAATCTCAGAACGAAAGATAGTTTTTTAAAAAATCTGCTCCTGGAATGACCTGCCCAAAGGTATGTTTCTAAAGTAATAAATTACTGCTATTGACAATTTAAGAGTTATCTTATCAAAATTTTAAAATGATCAAGTATATAATTTGAGCTGCCTAGCAAATCATAGCAATCTTATTTTTCTTGGTCTTATATTATACATTTAAGTACCCATAAGTTATCGTGGTTTAAATACAAGTTTAATCTTAAACCAATAAAGCTCAGAAATGTATTACTGTAAATACAGCAGCACTTAAACATGAGCTAAAACTCAGAAAAAATCATTAGAGTGTTTTCTTAGACCTCAATGAAGATTAAAACAGAGTAAGAAATACCAGGGCTGTTTTCACTGCATCAGAGCAGGCTTAGACATCCAAAGGAGAACTGTCTTCTTCGCTTTAACTGACATCCACATTAATGCAGTTGAATAGACCAGTGGGCGAGTACGATTAACAGTGACAGCAATTGTACCACAAGTATATGATTACTTTTTGACTAATCTTACCAAAGAGACTAACAGACTAGTTAAAGCACTAATGAAAAATTGTCTCATAAGCTTTTATTGATTATTAAATTTATCCTAACAGTCATAATCTTAATAATACCTCAGAAAATAGAAGTATTAACAAATAATTATGCTGAAGACACATGCATATGCACACAGACTTGATATCACATCAAAATATCTCCACAGAATTAGGTATATTTGCTAAAAAGAAATCTACTTATAACACCCATTACATTACCAAATGCCAATGTATTTGATCAAAAAAAGCATTTTCAATTAAGTAGAAGAAAGTTACCATTCAATTATATTCACATACCAGTCTATAGAGCTCTGTAATGCTGATCTCTTCAGGATCCACCATAGCATATTCTTTTCTTGGAACTAAGTCAAGTCCTAGTTGTCTATACAAAAGGAAAAGAAATAATGAGATGTAAGGCATGTGGAGTAACAGTAGGTAATTAGCTTCTTCATACAAAGGCAATAAGATAAGAAATACAACTTATTACTTCTATTCACATTTAACAAAAATACTTCTTCCAATGGTGTAAATGCTAAAGCATTTTGATGTGTTTCTTCTAGTTGCATTCACTGTTTGTGGATGACTCTCTTTTCTTCACTTTGTAAGATTATCAAAATAATTCTTCAATTTCTTTTTTAATTTTATGCCTTCACCTTTCTTATTGCAGAGAGAGTAAGATTTGACTAGTACAAGCATTGTCATTTTGCATGGCAACTCCAAAAAAAATTGAAAAATAAATCAAATGCCAAAATACCAACTTATTTTTAGCTTAGGCTGGATGGTAAGCCTCCTTGGCTGTATCTCATGTATTAAATAATGAAATAAATTTGAATCAATAGGAATAAAACTTAACTGCTTCTGCTATGCTGAAAATAAGAGCAAGAATAAAAGGAGCAGCCTGACTCCTTCTGCTGACTTCAGAAAATCTTGAAAGATAAGAAATTTTTGGAAAAAAATGTTTCGAAAGATTAGAAAGAGATGAGATGACCTCTCAAAAGCCAAGGCACTTCCCTTTGGTTAGCACAAATAAGGGGAGAGGCTCTTCTGCTCTTGTAGGTATTCAGAGCTTCTGATAAGGACAGCTGCAGAAGGCTGTAACAGCCAGTTAATTCTGTTGTTGAAGAGGTTTGTATTTAATCAGAGTTTAACTGAATAAAACACAGGCTGAAGAAAACTCTTTGGAGATAGCACCCAAATGCTCGGAAAGTGTGCAAGAGGAAAACTGATTATAAGGTAAAAACAAGAGTAAATTATGCTATTCCTTTCTTAATGAGAGTCCTCCCCACCAAGCACTTTTAGGGACAAGGAAGGTCACTGAATCGGGATGTCTCTCCCTGCGCCTGGGTCAGGAAGCTCGCTTTGTCAGGACAAAAATTACTTGAGCCTTGCCCAAGAAGTTACTCATGAGGATCTTCTCAAAGCTTGGCAATATTTGGCATTGGATGCAAATATTTCGACAATTCTTAATGAATTTATGACACTGGTCTCACAGAAATGGAACTGCAGGGAGTGAAAACGGGGAGAAACAAATGAGCAAGACAAAAGAATATAAAAAATATGACTAAGATTAGATTTTTAAAATGAGATTTTTCTCTGTCTTTCTGTGAAACAACCAGCAAGTGGCACTTAATTCATACCCAAGGATTTGGGTGTGGGGGGAAGGCTTCAGTTCGTTTTACTATTTCTAACATGATCCATCTCAATTCCTTCAAGATGAAAAGCTGCAAAACTTTGCTTGACTTAACACCTTTTAGAAAAAGAGATCATTTAAACACAATATTGAATGGGATATGTTCACGCAAAACTGACCATATCTATGCTCTGCTTTCCTCCATGCTTTTTTTGCTCTTTCTTCTTCCACCATTCCTTTCGCAGGAGAACATAAAGTACTACGATTTTTTTTTCCACACTCTAAGTAGGCACCTAATCTAAAACCCCTTGGAATCAAAAGGAAAGATTCTAGTTCACTTCACCAGACTTACTCTTCTGTAAAAAGATTACAAGACGATCTTTGTATAAACCTCAGGTACTACGAGAAAAAAAAAAAAAAAAAGAAAAGAAAAGAAAAGAAAAAAAGAGTGAAAGAAAGAACAAACATGATGGGAGAAAGAAAAGATTGTCAGGCATAAGAGAGAACATTAACCTTCAGTCAAAACTATCAAATTTAATCACAGGTCCATTTATTTATGTGCTTCCAAAACGTCAATCTATCAAATTCCTACTAGCTAAGAAGCACTGCAAAGCACATTTTGCATAATATGCCATCAAAAATTAAATTCAGCAGAGTCTCTTTCACCTTATCTCACATTTCCAAACTCAAAGTGCTCAACAGCAAAAGCCTGTGTTACTAGGAGTACTTTTCATCTTCATATTGCCCGTACTACTCAGCTGCCAAGCAATGCACAAACCTAACATTTCTTAAACATAAATACCTAGCACTTCCTTAAGAAATAATTACAAGCTCCTGAGTGGACACTGCCACAAGAGCAGAGAGTCAGGTCTGCTTTCATTCTCCTTGCACATGTCAAGGCACTGCTCATCTGCACCGCTGTTCTCAGTAACGAGAGCGAGTGCACAGTAGCCTCCTGTGCTTATTTTTCCAGCGTGTGGTCGAGCTGGCACAGTGAGGAGCTTACCAGCCTTCCAAACTGCATGAGGCAGTAGCAAGGTCAGTGTGAGGTGTACTTGGAAAATGATTTAAAAATCATTTTCATTATCACACTTTACACTATTTATTTTTTATCCCTATAACTCTTTGTCCTGTTGGTCATTTACCAATACTGAAGTGACTTTTTTTTTTAAAAAGAGGAAGGTGTTTAAAAAACAAAGACATGATAGTATCTGCTTTTTTTGCTTTTATTAAAAATCAGCAGGATACAGCTTGGTTAGATCTTTTCTTAGTTATTGAGGTAAAAGAAAAGGCACAGAGCCCAGCACAAGATGCATGTTAGAGATGCTCAGGTAAGAAATGAATCACAAGAGACAAATCCAAAAGGACCTAGTGGCAGCCAGCCTAACTTCAGCTAAGACAATGGAACTGTGCTAGCCAACACCATCTAAGAATCTGGCCAGGTGTGTATTTCAAGGTGGTTTAACAGGAAGCTCTTTCACAGATAGTACCACTACTGTGTGAAACTGTACGTTTATACACACGTGTGCACATAAAATATATATTTTTACAGAAAGCCATTCATTTTTTTTTGTTGCTGTTAAAATATGTTGGACATAAAAAGGCAGTTTGTTAGGAAAAAAAAAAAAAAGAGGCATCAAAATATCTGCCAGAAACTTGTTCCTTGTTCCAGGCACTCTACCACAAGCCTAAACTTTTTCTGTTATAGTTCGATTACACTCCCCTCTTGTGCAGTTATCTTTACTCACTCGTTGCCCCAGTCGAGGCGAGCGGTGATGTGTCGCTTCACATCCTTCATGCGGTCGTGGGTGAGGTGCCCAACCAGGACCTGCCGTCGCAGGTCCAGGATTTCGTTCATTATGTGCCACAGTCGGTGAAAGAGATCTCCCTCGTTTCTCTGTGAGAGAAGCAAATAATCAGATCTACGTCAGCTAATAAAGCTAATGATAATGCATACATGGTAGGGGAATCACGGAAATGCGTTCCTTACTTATGGTCTCTCTGAGTTATCGATCAATCCCATCACTTACACACCACACATTTATTTCAACGCTTGTCACAAACGCAGTGGTTGCACCATACTCCCTTTCAGCCCAGCTCCTTATGCTTCATCTTCACACAGTTTGATTTATGTGACAGATATGACAAAAATGCAACAAAAAAGAGGTTCATCTCAGTATTATGTTATTCCAAGAGCATGTTCGTTCTGCGCTGTCCCAAAGCTGGACAGGTGATTATGTAATGCAAGACTACTTGAATGCCTACACACAAGGAGATCAAAAAGCAACACCTCATTGCTTGCAAAATCTGAACCATGCAGCACAAAAAATGTACCATTTACTAATTTCTTGCATGGATATAACTGTACACACCACTCTAAATAAATAGTATCACAGTCAGAAATTTATTTCAGAGGACAGTTTTGCCTCATCTAATCAAGAAGTAGGAGAAATTATGTGAATATTATTATTTTTAAACCTCATCCTTCTACTCTACTTTAGTTATACACTAGTTATGCATGTAAACCATTTTCCATAATCCCTACCAACTAGTAGTATTTATTTTAATTCTTCCTTCATCTATTTTACCTGTTTTCACTAAATATAGTTTGTCTAGGAAACTTCAGCTTGAATAAGTTAATGCAAATTCCATTAAATGACGTATCACACAAAGTTAAAAACACATTCTTATTCAGATATGTTCTGCTTATTCTTGCCAAGAAATCATGAAAACTCCCTCTTCCCTTTTCCTTTTTCCTATCAAGAAACGGAACAAAAGTCAAGCTACATCTCCATCACAATTGCCACAAAAAGCCAAAATTAATTTAGAAGCATCATGATTCTGTCAATAATATTTTAATTCCAAACTTCTAACATTTTGCTTCACATACATTTTTCATTTCAGATTCATTTATTTTGTAAACTCAGTAAAATTGACATTGATTTATTGTTCCTTTTCGCTTTCTGTCAGAACAAAAAAAGCCCAGTATATTTTGAATGCCCAAAAGTAACAGTAGTTAAGGAAAAAAGTTGCCAAAGGAAAAAAAACACAGAAGAATAGGAATATACAATTTTTTTGAAGTAGAAGGAACCAAACAATATCAGATCTCATATAAATAGCCTTTGAATTAGCAGCAAGAGATGAAAAAGACTTTATAGGAAAGTTACGGAGAAATAGGCTGACGCTATGCCTTCAGTTTTCCACCAGACACTATTGTATAAAATTTCATTTGTACAGTAAATACTCAAGTGCAAAAAATACCGAATTAAGGTACATCTTTCTTTTTAGTATCTGACATTGAGCTTTGCTTAAGTAAATTATTCAACTGAATCTGAGTGTTGCTAATATTTAACATCCCAGTGAAACTCAACATTTTGTTGTTTGACAGTTTCATTTTTTTAAGTTTTAGATTTGCTTATTTTTGAGATATTCATATCTCAAAGTGCCAAGCAGATATGCCAACAACTGTGCTTAATATATAATGTGGTTCCGTTCACAAAGGCAATCACCTTTTTGCTCTTTTTTGTACCAGAATGAGCAAGCGTACTGATATATTTCTTTATATTAAATGCATAAAGTATCTACACTCAGATATACCTCTACTGTTCAACAAAACTACTCCATATGAAAATCCACATGAAAAATACTCCAAACAATTTATGTAAAACTAGTATTTGATATAGAAATGTATAATTTATTTAGAATAGGCGGACAGGAAAATAGAAAGGTAGTGATGTACTCTTGATGTAACAAGATACTCTGACTTCAATGTCACAAAAGACAGTAAAATGTTCTTTAATGTTTTGGAGATGATAAATATTCAAAAAAACAGAAACAATATCACTGTCCAGACCCAGCATTTGTCACCTAACTCACACAAAGTTATTCAAAAAGTGCCTAAGACACGCTAGGGAGGTGTCTTTCCTGTCTGCATGAAAGGTGGTGGTGTCATCTCACCAACCAGAGAAATAACATGAATATCTAAGTTGGTTCTAAAACAGATGTCAAGGAGTGGTTATTGCAGGTTCGCTGTGGCATTAGGAAAACATCTAATATCAAGTTTTGCAGGGATGTGTTGCAAGTTCGCTCTGTTCCGTATTTTCAGCATGAACTAAGCTTGTGAAGTTTCAGACCTTATCGTCTAGAGGACAAGCTCAGTACAACCTTGATAAATGGGAGAAGCATTCAAACGTCTGCAAGATGCACTGAGAGACAGAACACTTATTGCTACAAAGAATTCAAATGGCCAAAAACAAACCAAGGAAAAATGAGGCAGGCACTAACACTGTAGGAAGTGACAGTGGATTTATGGACTACCAATGAAGGTAATTCATGCTGGGAGGCAACATAGCTCACTGGGGAGTGAACTTCACAGGCAAATCCCTGTGAGAGACAATGACCATGCACTGAGTGCAGCCCTGGCAAGGGCTCTGCTGACATACGGGATTCAGCTGTGGACACGGAGCGTTAAGGATTAAACACACTGCCAAAGGTACAGAGCAGAGCAGCTGGAACAAGAAGGAAGATTACCAGCACTGATTTTTTTTTTTTTCAGAAAAAGACAGAATGCTGAGGGAAGGTATGGTAAGTCTTTCAATACCTAGCAGATCCTTTGGAAAGCCAATAGGAGGTTATTTCTTTACATATTAACTGGACACACAAATTCATTCAAGTAGACTGAAACTGAAACTTAATTATCTAGAACAAAGTGATTTAAGTACCATTTTAGAAAAACTTTGTAATCATAAAAACAACAACCTTCTGTCAGGGACAGACCAAGCTTATTCAATCCTGACTCAGTACACAGGTTTGGACTGCAACTTTCATCATTTGAAATCTCTTTCAGATCTCTGTTTCTGTGAGTCAGAGAAATGGCAATTGCATTCAACAGTCATTTGCACTCAAGTGGTAGTAACCTTCAAGAGGAAAAGTGGCCTAGCTACTGGTGAAGGTGGATACTTCAAAATCAGCAAGTCCTGGGAGTCTGCATCCAAAATGCTATTGATACTGCACAGCGTTTAGATTAACACACTAGAATAATTCCAAATCAATATGATTTATTTAATGGGGTAAAAGCTGCTTAGGTGACTCATAACTAGATTATAAATGAGGAACCATCAGGAGGCTGAGATTTGAAGAGCTCTCTCCATGCAAAGATAGGTTAGCCTTCCCTACTTAATATTTTATTAATATCTGGGGGTGAGGGGGGGAGAGGAAGATTTACTGATATAATCTCTACTTCAGATGAAGACTTTAGATACAGAAGAGATCACACATACAGAGCAAGCAGAATAGGTGATAAACAAGGTATATAGAGACAACACATGTCAAGGTCATTCTTTGAGAAAAGAAAAATAGCTACTTATAGCTGCTCTGTGTTTGGTGCTCACCCAGCTATTACTGGAATACTGTATCCAGTCCAGGGTCCAGAAGTGCTCTGGGAAACACAAAATGGGTTCAGAAAACAGGAATGGTTAAGGCTAGAGAGCACACTTCAAAGTGAAATTCGAGAAGACAAATCCACTAAAGATAATTAAGTAGAAAGTTAAGACTTCAAACATCTTTAAAGTGGAACAGCTCTCATAGAAGGACCTTCTGTAGGGATTTGGGGATTTGTTATAGAAACACAAAGATTGGTGTGAATGGAATATAAAAATGCATATATAAGCACCACAAGAAGTGACAGAACGAGGAAAGGTATGCATCTATTGCTAGAGAGCATCATTGGTGGGACTTCATTGGACAAAGAGGAGAAATAAACTGACCTGAAGATGATAGGAAGATGGAGAACAGAACCAGAGCCATAAAATCTCCAGATAAGCAAAACAAAATAATTTTGAAACATGGTGTCCCTGCTTAAGGCTTAAGCAGGGTAAGATAAAGTAGTAAGGCAGAAGATCCAAAGCAGAATCTGCTCCTAATGTGTGCAACAAGCCAGTCCAAAGTCAATTCTTCATTGCTAATCAAGAAATCACCTCCCTGCCAGCAGTGAGGCCTCCACATCTGGCATCCCTTGTCCTGCGGGTTCCAAACAAGTGAGCCTGATCAGATAAAAAACATGTATCTTGGTGCATACAAATACATGAGCACGTGAGTGAATAAAATATATGAGAAAATGAGAACAAGCTAATCAGCTGACCTAGACATTTTGCATAATAATCTTCCTCTTCCACAAGGTATCTACACTGAGCTTTGCAACACTGATTTCCTAAACTTATTCAGCAAAGAAAGGAATCTTAAGATCCAATGGCTAGAAGATTACACTGGACAAGACTCAAAAAATAAGATGATAAATTTTAACAGCAGAAACAGCCAATAATTAGAACAACTTACAAGATATTTAATTCATCATTCGAAAAGGAAAAACAAAAGACCTTTTTTTTTGCTAAGAGATTTACTTGAACTGAAGTAGAGCACCTTCACACAAAGAACAAACTAGCAGAGAAAATCCTCTGGTTTTAGTTATGTAGGAGGTCAGACTAGATTACACAATCATCCCTTTTCTCACTTGAAATTTCTGAGTCTCCTTACAAGTAGATTTTTCTGCAACCTCTCCTGCAAGCGCGGCTCTCAATCACCCCGCTGCCTTACTCGAGGCAGAGGGTTAGGAGGCAGGGAGGGGAGGGAAACAACTTTCAACTCCTACAGTTGTCAAATACTCTTAGTTCAAAAAAGAAGTGAAGTTGTTAAAGCTTTATACATTCCCCTAAGGCTTTCCTAAGTTTTAAATATAAGCATTAGGACAAATTGACTGAAGCAAAAGAAATGTTGACCTTACTAATAAAGAACATGGAAAAGGTAAAGTGAACTTATAAATATTAAAGCTCTCCTATCTTGGCAGCTATTTTTGAGGCAGGCATTTCCTCTTAGAAAAATTATGCACCTCACTGTCCTCAAATCTCTTCTGTCTAGCAGTTTAAATTCAAAAAATCATTGATGCTATGGGAAAAAAATCTTAGACTTGCAGTTACTTGACATTCTACCTAAATATTTTGTGTTCTGTTTTTTTTTTTAATCCAATCAAAATGATCTGGCATCAGAAACCACAGTCAAATCAAAATCATAGGAAAGAGCTCTGGAAAATCTTCCCCTATTTTCCTCTCAATTTATTTCCATACTATGTTAAGAGCAACTATGACATTTTAATATCTTGTCTGAACAGCAGCTTGCTTGAAAATGCCTTTATTTTATATTTCTTAGTAAGTACATTTTTCTAAATCTTTTTTTTTTCTCTGTATGTTTATTTTACATTCGGGTCTTTCATGTATGAAAAAGATCCATTTACCCTTTCTACACATGTTTCCATGCATGATCACATGTTGAATCTCTGGATTCAAGAACATCAACCAGATGCTCTCTCATTTTCAAAATCCTATCGTTTTTGAAGGAAACGACTGAAAGTAACAAGGGAAGAATTTCTGACTAATTTACTGGCTAGGACACAGTGAGCAGAAAAGCATACTGAGTTAAAAAAAAAAAGTTAAATACAATAAATACGACAAGAAAAGAAAACCTCAAACTGTCTAAAATCTTCAACAGCATTTTTTTCTCTTCTCCCTAAGTGAAAAATAATTATAATATAACAAAGCCTGGTCTTTTCAGCTGGTATTCTACCAAAGCAATATGATTTCTGATACTTGCCACATAAAGTTGTTTCCACATTGTTCCCCAGTCTCTTAAAGTTGTCGTCATTTCTGTAATAACAGAATCTTCTGTGGGAATAACCATTTCAAATTGTCTGTAACATGCAGAAGAACACGTATTTCAGAAGCATTGCAAACCACATTATTGCTGCTAAAATAAAGATTTACTTCTACCAACATTAATGGCTATTAACCTACAAGGAGATCCTTCAACCCATGACATTTATTTGTATCTCATTTAGCCAGCCCAGGAGCCTTTAGTGAAATCCTGCTCCTAGTAGCCCAGTTTTATCTTTGACTATGAGATCAACAAGTCACACGCTGCTTTTCGGTCCAAGTCATTCCAGCATTTTCAAGGAAATCTTGATATGGCCACTCCAGGTGAGCACCCCAGCCACCCCTTTTTGACATCTGTTTTTACAGAAATGGGACAGAAGATGCTGCTCCAAAGACACTCCTACAAAAATAAATACTGCTTCTTTGTTACTTGAAGAATATAGAAACTTATTTCATTTATTGCATTGAAGAAATATTTTACTATTGAATTGCTATGTTATTTTGTCAGGATTTTTTTGTAAAATGACAGCTTGTCTGCCATGGAATAGCTAGTGTCCTTAGAGAAAAACGACTAAACTTAAAAAATAGTTTAATAGCAAGCTCCAATACAGAATAATGTTTAAAAAATCAATCTTTTAAAACAAAACAACAGTAAGAAAACATGCAATTGTTTTCTCTTTACTCTAGACTAATACAGACTAATTTTCTCAATTGCTCTCTATAGAGAATATGCCATTTCAATTATATGACCAAGTGAAGGTTCTGGATTAGTTAAGAACAATAATTTCTTTACCTTATATGCAAAAGGTCTTTGGTATAAGTTACTGACCACCTTTAAATATTTGAATTGGGAAAATTTTACTTACCCTTTGTTCTTGACACATGCATTTTTCAAGTGAATGTAGCTGGATGGAAATATACCCTGAAAAACAAAATGGGACAAATGGGAAAAATAAAATGAGTTCTCCTCTATAAAACGTACAGCTGCATACATCTTTTGCCTATATTTTCTTACCACAAATATACAGGTCAGGCCTCTGAGGAATAAGCATGTCTGCTACATGGTTGTAACTGCCCACAGGAGTGTTCCTGCTTCTCAGGAACACGCACAGATACAGACTAATTTTCTCAATTGCTCTCTATAGAGAATATGCCATTTCAATTATATGACCAAGTGAAGGTTCTGGATTAGTTAAGAACAATAATTTCTTTACCTTATATGCAAAAGGTCTTTGGTATAAGTTACTGACCACCTTTAAATATTTGAATTGGGAAAATTTTACTTACCCTTTGTTCTTGACACACGCATTTTTCAAGTGAATGTAGCTAGATGGAAATATACCCTGAAAAACAAAATGGGACAAATGGGAAAAATAAAATGAGTTCTCCTCTATAAAACGTACAGCTGCATACATCTTTTGCCTATATTTTCTTACCACAAATATACAGGTCAGGCCTTTGAGGAATAAGCATGTCTGCTACGTGGTAGTAACTGCCCACAGGGGCGTTCCTGCTCCTCAGGAACACACATAATTCAGGAGAGCATCTCTCCAGGACTGTGTGATGTGCAACCCTGCACTTGTACCTGTGTCCCAGAACCCAGGCTGGCCGCACATGCACAGGCCCTTTTTGAGAGGCTGCCATGGGCCTTTGCTTCAAGAGCCAAAATTTGCAGAATCACAAGGGAAGGCTCTTGACAAAGCAGTATCAGCAAACTGAGTTGCAAGGATCTCTCGTGACTTTTATTTTGGGAAATTTATTTCAATTCAGAAAGTTGTTTTCTATCATACTATGAAAGCAAAAAACATACATCTTATTTCTTCACACATCAAGTCATCTTTAGCAAACCCATTCATAACTTCTATCAACACATCTGACAGAGCACAAAGCAGCACTGACAGCCAGCATGTGCTGAGAACTGCAGTAACAGACAGGAGATGTAAAAACAAATCCTAACTGCTTATGGTTTTTGAAGGAAAACAAAAACTTATAAACAAGGTCAAAGGAGTGAGCACAAGATTAGACTCTAGGACTGAATTTATTGCTCACTTAGCTCCTCCACAGAAAGCCAAGGAAATTTATATAAAAGCAGAGACTATGAACTTTTTAAAAAAATAATAATATATTTGTCAAAGAACATAAAACCAAATTTCACTTTTACCTTAGAATTGGGGTTTTTTAAGGCAAATCCTCTGTACCATCCTGCGAAGAAATAACATTTTTTTTTAAAGCATTTAAATCATTTCCATGTGTCAAAGAGATTTCATCTTTTCCCTTTGAACAGATAGGCTATTACACAATTTTGTCAGATTGGAGTCATTAGCGGACTCACCATATATTCCCAGTTACTTCCAGGAATTTTCTCTATTACCTTGCATCTTAAATATATCTAACGTGCAATATAGATTTATTTTGCACTGGACAACACTCCTCATAAAAGGGGAAATGGTTCATATTCCCCATAATATTTACAAATCATTTTTGGACTTCACGATCCATCAGCCACATTACTAAACAAAATTCATAACATACCTGATTCAAAATCTCAGATCCGAAACCTTTTGTAATGGAAAAATGTTATAAGAAGATTAAGAGTTTATAATCCTGATGTTAACCAAACAAAAAAAAACACCCATATCATCCTAAGTGATCAAAAAAATTACAGAGAAATCTCAGGTAATATATTAAAAAATGCACTAGGAAAGAAATGAAGCTTCTTTTCCCTTACTCTAGGAACAGACATTTGTTAAAATCATACTAGTGGTCTCTATCTCAGAACAGAGGCAGAGAAACATTTTTACACTTCTGTAAGATTTTGTGACTTTGTAAACATTTTTTTTTGTGACTTGTGTTTTCTAAATCTGTGACTTCGCGTGAATTTGAAAGGTGCCCATTGGAAGCAGGCGTCTCTGGGATATTGCTTGAAAGCAGAAGAATCACACTGAGAATTCCTTGTTGTTTTAACTCTGGCAATTAAATAGAAAAAAATAAATAAAAAGGATGAATCACCAAAAAGCACCTGAGGCTTTTGAATTCCCTTGAATTGCAAAAAAAAAAAAAAAAAAAAGAAGAAGACTGGAATGTATTCTACTGTTGACTTTTAAAAAAGGTATTCATTTAAAAAATAACTGATCAGTAATGGGACTCAAATTAACAGTATATAAGACTTCACTATGGCTAGAATTTCCATCTGGGAACTTACCATCACATTTCTCTAATATTTGAACGGTGTCGCCAATCTCCAGTGATAGGCCATGTGGGACTGTCCCTCGAAAACCAGCTATTACTAAAAAAAGATATTAGGTTTCAATTAATTACACCACTAAAGTATAAATCAAGAATACTCTTATTATTAAAAATAGCATATTAACAAGGGAAATTAAATGCTAGAACAGACAAGCTCACCAAAACCTAAGAAGCCATGGAAAGGACCAGAGACTAAGGAATTTTTTAAGGTTAAAAATATGGACTTACTAAAACCATTTACTGACCTACTATCTGTGAATGAAGAGCTTGTACTGGCAAACACTGTTAGCTAGTTGTACCTACCCAGAAGAACAGAAAGGGTGTTATTCCAGATATTCAGACTAACCCAGGTCTGCTAACTGAAAGCGCCAACGCTTGTGTTGCTATCTACACCACTGACCTGTCACGGCAG